GCAATCCTTTATAAATCTGACCCCTGGTCTGTACCAAATTCTACTAATTATTACAAAAACACACCAGTTTCCACTGTGTCATTATTTATTAAATGAAAATAAAGACAAAATTATTAAGATATATTTTGTCCAATATTTCATCAGTCTGAACATCCTTTAGCAGTGATAACTGGTTCTCTGTGTGACGTCATCAGTTTCTCACACAGCTCTTAAAGAATATTTGATCTGCTCTTTTTTACAATGTTGCTTCGGTTCACAGACACCTGCTTTAAAAAATTTAATGACCTGCTCAGAAAGTTTAGCCAAAGCAAGTCACCGATGTATTCTGTTTGAAAAGTTTTCCACTTTTTGGACCTCAGAATATTCATATGACCTAAAGCATTGGTTGACCTGATAGATAGCCCCTCATCAGACCTAAACAACCAAAGAAAATCTGAAGCTCCTATGTTTTAATAATTTTTGAGCAATAACCATTTCTGTATGTCTAGATACCCCTCTTTCAGATAAATTGGGGGTCCGGGGGTGGGGGGGGGGGTTGGTTAATATGATGGATAGCCCCTCCTTAGACCTAAACAACCAAAGAAAATCTGAAACTCCTATGTTTTATAGTTTTTGAGCTATAATCAGAGTTGCATATAAAATTTTTGGTCTGGTTGTCAGTGGAGGACCTAGGGTTGTTGCTTGGTACTCATTTTCCTTCACTCATTTAACATTTATATATAGGGGCGTCAGGGCATCTAACGTCCCCGTTCTGTTTTATGACTCCTATCAGCTGCAACGTCTCAGGACATGATGCCAAATCAGTCCAACAACTTTTGTATTTAAAGGAGACCAATTTTGGGTCCTAGAAATTTTTATGGTATGTTTGTGGGCTATCCAGACCATGTTCATTCAATTTAATGCACAAAATAATTCTCAGATAATAAAATTTCCCATTTTCTAGTTCTGCCTGCTCTGACTTCCGTTCAGAACAAGCCGTTTATGTTAATGAGCTCTGTTGGTAACGCCCTCCTAAAATCTGTTGACATTAACTCCGACCTCCAAAGCCAGTGCTTACATTAGCATGGCTAATAATAGCAGAAGCTCCGTTGTACAACCGTATATACGAGACCCTGAGTCAGACCCAGAGGCAGAGTCGCGGTCGCAGCTCCCGCCGTCGGAGCTCTGCGCTCACTCTGCATGCTGTTACCAGGGCAGGTAATTGGAGCAGCAGTGGTCAAAATACCTCAGAAGCTCGAACAAATAGGCTAAACAATAAAAAAGCTAAAAGCTGAACAATAGAGGTACATGAGAAAATGTGTTCATAACGAACGAAAATAAATAATTAAATAGTTTGTGTCCATGTCGGTCTCGAACCCCGGAAGGCTTGTTGTGAAATGAGCTGCGCATTACACAACAACAACCGCAACAACTTTTTATACTGAGGAGGTGGGGCCTCACCCATGGTTTGGTTGCTAAGTAAGGGGCTGAATGCAGGATGCGGTGGGTTGTCATACGGCTTGTGACATCACAAAATGTATAAAGTATAAAACTTGTCATTAATATACATTAAAAATACATTTACTTACAGTAAATATGCCCCTGGGTGCATTTTTTTTGGTCCTAGGACTGTTTTTTTAAAGAAGTACATACCCAAATTTGAGTATAAAAACCTTTAAAAGTGAATTTTGCATAATAGGTCCCCTTTAATTTTTTTTACTCTACATAAGTTTTGTAAACTACCTAAGTGGCCGAGGGGCTTGGTGTATGTCATTTAAACATCACAAACTGAACATTTCAGGGTTAAATGTCTTTTAGACTAACATGTCCCTCAGATGCACAGCTCCTGTTTGGTCTTCACTTCGGCCTTGGTTAAACCAGCTTTCCACACTCTCCAGTCCAAGCAGTAAATATCTGTCTTTTGCACAGAGCAAAATAACTTCAAACATACAAATGTTTTATTTGTTAGACAGATTTCTTTTTTAAAAGACTATTTTATTCAAACATATTATATTATTTAGATGGTTTCAGCT